TGATTATTTTAAATTTTGTTATTAATGTCCTTACAACACTTGCTAACAAAATCATTAACTACATTTGATCTTCAATGTTTTAAATTGTGTCAAATAAGAACAAGAGGATTTGTAACGCCCTCAAAAAAATAACATTAAACCCCTCAATATAGACATGAATTGGTAACAAAGATAAACATTATTCTATTCATCAGAGTAGTTCTATTACAAAAGGTATTACATGTTAACGACAAAAGCAAATGCCCTACGGGCTTACAGCTTTCCAAGTTAACACTTGGTTACAAAAAAAGTACTAACTCATTTACACATTAAGCCCTTGGCTTGAATTTACATGTAATACAACAAAAAGGAAGTAAGACAACGAAAGCGTGTCCGCCTCTAGCCTCCCAAGCTATGTCCTTGGATGTGGCATGCTACCTGTACCTGAAGATGATATTCCCATATAGGGTGAGCCACAGCCCAGTAGAAATACACTAAACCAAATATGGACAATGACTAAAAGATTAGCAGTTGATAGATGGCCAACAGTGATACTTTCTCTTATCACACTTTACAGTTTCATGACATACATGCCCATATTATAGTCCATTTTCCAATTCCTTTCAATTCTCAATTTACAACCATGGCTCAGAACCTGGCCATTAACTCATATGAGACAGTAACTCATATCAAACACTTCCTATTTCATAATAGATAAGCATACGAGCTATATCACACAACAACAGATAAGCATACAAGCTGTATCATCACTTCCACAGATATGCATATGAGCACTATCACACTTCCAATGACAAGCATATGAGCTCTGCCAACACATTAATAGATAAGCATATGAGCTCTATCTATGGAGTCCATCCCCTATCTCCTCCCAACACATCCGGTTTAGAGGTCCATCCCCTATCTTCCCCTAAACCGTGGAGTACATCCTCTATCTCTTCCAACACAACACAATGCATATAAACAATAATTATACACATCATCAACCAATACATAACATTTAATGCATTCATTCAACCGTCATACTCAATGACACATTCTGGTGATTAGTTTTAGTTTGCCTAATCGTCATGCATTGTCTACAACAACTAAGACTATCCTCCACCGATAGCCCAAAGTAGTTATTTCTATACAGAAAATAAATGCAACAAATGGATATAAAATCGACATTTCCAACTAGGTGAGTGACATAAAATCCAACTACACTCTTTAATCCCATGTATTCCCAATCTCAACATTTCCAATTCAATTCCTCGTTTCTCACAATTAATTTTACAAATTAATTAACCAATGTAATTAGGGCATTTTCCATTATTAACATTTCAACAACCTACGTTGATCACACACAAAAGATATAGTCCAGTACCAAGGTAATGGAAGATTCCCCTAAAAGCAGGCACATAAAACCTACATTGTTCACATAGCAAAAGATATAGACTACATTCCAATACCAATGTAATGGAAGATTCCCCTAAAAGATGAGATAAGTATAAAAGCACCATTTCAATGTACCCATAATGTGGCTAGCTAGCGCTCAAAAACAAAAGCATGGCATCATTATTCATTCATTCAACAAAAGAAGATCCCTTAACAATTCAAGACCATAACTTCCTAATGATAACCAATGCCTCATTTTAACAGAGGCAAATTCCTCAAGTATTGCACTATGAACAATAGAGTTCAAGGTATTTTTTCTCACAATTTTTTTTAAAATAAATTTAAGCTATTGTTTGCTTGGGATTTAAGATGCAGTTATAATCTAATAAACAAATTGAATAAGAGAGTGTTCGATAACTCAATTCCACACATTCAATCTGTTTGATAATCACAATTCACATCACTTAAAATTTTAACCTATTAAAAAAAAAACTAAAATTTTTAGCCCAAAATTTCTTACTTAATGTTGAATGCTAAATTTTTAATTGTTTATGCTTATTGCTTTTTAGTTAGCTCACGGTCATAATTAATACCTTGAAATCACTTATTAAGAAATTTGTAATGCTCGTACATTTTTTTATAAAATTGTGTGCAATAAAAATTGTATGATTATTTTAAATTTTGTTATTAATGTCCTTACAACACTTGCTAACAAAATCATTAACTACATTTGATCTTCAATGTTTTAAATTGTGTCAAATAAGAACAAGAGGATTGGTATGTATCACATATTTTTTAAGCAAGTCTAAACACTCTATTCTAATCCACCTTTATTCTAGCAAACCAAACACTATCACTGTGTTTGGTTGAGAGATTTAGAAAGAGATTTGGAAAGAAAAAAGGAAAAGATAGGTAAAATATGAATAAAATATGCTTGCATTTCACCTAGTTTTACACACATTTTCCCTTTTCCTTTTCAAATCCCTTCCCAAATCTCCCAACCAAATACAACATATATGTGATCATCAATCAAGATTATGAAGAATGGCTAGTTGGTGCAAATGCAAAGGCAATAGGGCAATGGAAATGATTCTCTTCAACAATCTAATCCTTGGCCCATGCTAATTACAAAAAGTTTAGTTTACATTTGCTTCAACAATCTGATCATTTTTGTAAGTTGCATTTGCTTGCAAACCTAAAATTAGCATTTGATACTTGCCTTTGGAACAAAGATACTTTTTGCTTTTTCATCAGAGGCAAATGTTCAATTGACAATTGTAGTTATGGAGCCAAATATATTTAGTTGCATGTTATGAGTTGATCATGTTTCTTTTTTCGTATTGGGTTCATTTTTCTTACTTTGTTGTCATGACTATTTGATATTTAAAAAAAGGTTTGATCAAGGAAAGGGTATTGGTTTCATTCCTACTAGGTTGTTCTATCCAAGTTTCCTTTTCTCCTATTGAATAACTATTTGATTATAAATATTTAAATTAATGCAATCTGATCTATTTGCAAACTATGATCACATGGTTAAATTTTCAACCATTTCACTTCGTGGAATGTGTTGTTAATGCCTTACATAAGATTCTTGTTGATATTTGGTACTCTCTCACTCTCTCCTCCTTATAACAACTACTGACTTTTCTTGGGTGTAATTTCATATTTTTCTTGATTACATTATGCCCTCTTACACTTTGGTATTTTCTGTACATTGTTGTATTGTATCTTCAGGACTGCATATGATGTAAATCTAACTGATGATAGCTGGTCCAAAGATGTTTTTCACATTATCTGTGGAAACACTTCAATGTCATGGGAAAGGCTTGATGTGTGAGTTTCACATTCTACAAAGACTCCATATTCCAATTTGTTGAATTAATATCTTTATTTTTATCATGCTAACTTGTATAATCAGCAGTGGCGCTCTTGTATCGCATGCTTTTGAATTGGAGTCCGAAGTACAAGCACTGTTCTATGGTGCACCAGTAGTTATCACATTCCGCATCCCACAAAGGCTGCTCTACAGGTTTGGCATTCCAGCCATTTCATTTGTATATATAGAAAAATGTGTACACATGTATTTATCTGTTTAATGTGAATGATTTACAATCTTTTCACTGTTACCATTTTCAGGAGGCTTATTCGACTCCAATTTTGCCTTTAGATATCCTCGTAGACAGACCTCCAGTGAAAAAGTTTGAGTGGGTAGGTCTCTCTCAAGTAATAGATTTATCAATCAATTTCTTTATAATTAAAAAGATGTTGAATTGTTATATGTATTGTGACGGAGAAGATATTACCAGCACACTGTAAGTTCTTGCTCTTTACAGCTCTGCTTTTGTGAACTTAGAAACACTAATGTCTCGTTGTTTTGTAAATTCTATAATCACCATGTTTGCTGATTTGCCTTGGGTTTTATAACTATAGCTATTATTTTTCTCATTACTATTATGTGCACTTGCATAGGACAAATTAGGAGTGCATATGCCAGAGGTTAGTGAATTAATGAGCTACAAGTTACAAATGGAGTAATAGTGGGACCAACATTGGGTGAACAAGAAGATGGAGCAAAAAATATAAATAAAAAAAAAAAGTTTTGCCAAAAACAAAGTTTATGTTAAATATAAAAAATCAAAAAAGATATATTTGGGTTGTCCAACATGTTTTGTTGTTTTTGTTTCCACCTATGACCCACAACCTTCGAATTTTTATTACTGTATTTTTGTTTTTTTGTCTAATTTAGTTCATGTATATCATGCTTTGTAATGTAATTAAGCATGAGCATAGTTGAGTTATTTCGTTGCTAACATAATTTATTGTTGTCTAAGTTATTTCATGTATTTCATGCTTTATAATAGAGTTACTTGCCTTACTGCAGTTTGAAAAATGGTTCCTGGCTTAAAGACTGGTCGGCTTCGGAAAAAGACAGTCACAAGCACAATAACAGACTCGCTAGCTGCTATTCCTTTAGGATCACAAGTTGCTCTATCTCCTGTTGTCCCCGTACGATCAAATGAGGGACCAAGTGTAGACACCCCATTTTTGACCGTCCTCAAGACTTGGACATCACCATTGGAACATTCGGTGATCCTCTTCGTTTGTGTTTCGTCTTAAGTTCCCGAAAGTCTTGGCTGCGCGTCTTGCCTCAGGATCTCTCGACTCGACTGTTCCGTGTTTGGTTTTGGCACCAAACACTTGTGTTTCTGCCTTGAAGGGCGGGGAATGGCTTGTTGGCCATCCCCACATTCTACCGGCCTTCCCCTAGCATCACCGGCTGCTTATGGGTGCCACCGGCCATGGTTTCTTAAAATCAATGGCCGGTCGGCGCTATATTTGGCCGGCCGACAATTTATTTTGCCGGCGACCTCTTTTGCTAGCCGGTGTGACTCCTTTGCACTCTTGAGGCATGGTGCATGCCAGCTGTGCCAGCTGGAATGCACCATCACTCCTCCCCGTGCAGTTTTTGGTTGGTGTGAACCTTTGACCCCCCCTTCTTTCTAGAAGCTTGAACCTTTTGGCCAAGCTTCTTGGGGAAGCTTGGCTAGCTGTATTAGTTTCTCCAAGAAGCCAAGAACCCTTTTGCACCCTTTGCCCCTTTCATCTAGCTTCTTGGAGAAGCCTAGAAGGCAATTGCAAATTCCAAGGAAACTCTTTCTTGTGATGGGGTATGCCCTTTCAGGGTCCTTGTCTGTTTTTTTATATTTTATTTTTTATCAGTAACAGTCCTTGTCTGGTGTTTTAAGATGTATGTTAGTTGCCTGGATGAAAGTGCTTTTATTCTGTCAGATATCTAATCTTTAAGTATGTAATCAAATTGTCTTTTATCTGTTCAATTGTTGAGTTAATTGGTCCAATTAGAAAATTATTTTTTTAATTTCAAACCTAGTTAAACTACACCAAGATATTTCCTGATAGTGATGCAATAGAAGCTTTATTGTATTATTTTCACTTATGTTTCAGGATTTTCTGACAAATTTGATAGCCGAGGACGATGCAATGAGTGAATCTTCTGTTGCTGACCTCTCTCGCTTCATCCCGAAGATGCCGGCATCCCCTTCCATGTCTCACATTGTCAGCATTGGGCAGCTTCTGGAATCGGTAATCTCATTCTTCCTGTGTGTGCATGCCCACATATTGACCGTTAAAAAAAGATGAGTGCATGTTAGTCAACAAGATCATGCAGCATCTAAAAGTTTTTTAGCTTGTCATTCATGAAAAGTGAGTTAAAATGACACTAGAATCAATGAAGAAAAGATGGTACAATGGCTTTAGGTTGATTCTTCTGTTTCTAAACAAGTAAATTGGATAACACCTTCAATAACTCTCCTAGTTAGAATTCATCATTTATTGGGCTAGCCATTTTGTATAGACATGGCAGCATGGTTATCAGAATCCTGATCCAGATCGTAAGATCTATAGTTCTAGTTGGGCCAAATGATTCAGATCGCACTAGGATTAAAGTGACTATGATCTTAGTGATAAAATCGTGTAGAATCGCACTACGATCCTGATTCTACAACAATCCCGATCCTACAAAAAAAAAAAATTCTTATTATTTATTTCTTATATATGTATGTATGTGTACATTTATATAGGAAACTTGACTATAAATTTTTTCTTCAAACATCTCTTTAAATTTATGATAACATAAAAGATGTATTATATCAAATGAATCATTTTTCTATAATGATTTTACAATTTTTTAACATACATTAAGGGATGTATTTAGTAGGAACCTTGTTACTGGAAGAGAATCCTCACATGATCTCAAATAACTACTTTTATATAGGGCCTATTTGGTGTAGCTTTTTGCAAAATGAAAACTGATAATCAGAAGCAGAAGCTAAAAGCTAAAAGCATCTTTCTGCCTGCTTCTCAATAATCAACTTTTTTTTTTTTAAAAGAAAAGCTTATTTATTCTATTTTTGCCTTGTAAGCTTTTTAGCAGAAGCTGTGCTCTACACTCATGCACAATTTTCCAAAATAAAAAAGCTATAAGCAGCTACATAAGCTGCACTAAACAGCCCATAGCTATTTCAAAGCCATCATGATAAAGCTATTTCATTCAATACTGAAATTTATAGGTAAACTATCAAATTTAAATTTGAGCTATTCTCTTTGAATAATTAATGTCAAAATCTATGCTTGTCAAAACCATATCCATCCAAACAGACCCTAGGTGTCTTCCTCTATAATCTCTTTCAAGTTTTACCTTTTTCTTTATATCCTTCTGGTTAGCATGGGATGTCAGTTTTCTTTTGTTGCTTTCGTAGGGTTCATTGTGCCAAGTTTGTGTTACTTCAAATATAAGATTTACAACTAAAATTCATTAATCTTCAAAGGATGTTTTGTTCGGTTTCAGGTGGATCCCTACTTGGGCATCAGTGACGACTTTCAAGTATATGTGAAGCCTGGGGCGGATGTGAGAGAGTATGGTTCTGTCACTGATAACCAAGTGGCCACATCGTTGCTGTTCGATTTACGGAACAAGATCTCTGAATCTGACAAGATTCTCGTGGATATCTTAGTTCAGAACTTGTCTTCTAGTGTCGAGGTGTGGTTTGTAACTGATAAACCTGAGCTTCTACTGTTTATACTATTAGTCTATTGCTCTCTCTCTCTGCACTTCTTATCAATGTGTGCAGTATATAGTATATACAAACTTATATCTGTATCTTCCATCTGTGCACATGTTCAGCTAGATGTGGCTGACCTTGTAAAGCAGCTTTCAGAACCATTTACACCTGATGATGCGTTCATGTTTGGTCCACAATCAATCCTTGATTTGGATCACATTCAGGCAATTGCAAATTCCAAGGAAACTCTTTCTTGTGATGGGGTATGCCCTTTCAGGGTCCTTGTCTGTTTTTTTATATTTTATTTTTTATCAGTAACAGTCCTTGTCTGGTGTTTTAAGATGTATGTTAGTTGCCTGGATGAAAGTGCTTTTATTCTGTCAGATATCTAATCTTTAAGTATGTAATCAAATTGTCTTTTATCTGTTCAATTGTTGAGTTAATTGGTCCAATTAGAAAATTATTTTTTTAATTTCAAACCTAGTTAAACTACACCAAGATATTTCCTGATAGTGATGCAATAGAAGCTTTATTGTATTATTTTCACTTATGTTTCAGGATTTTCTGACAAATTTGATAGCCGAGGACGATGCAATGAGTGAATCTTCTGTTGCTGACCTCTCTCGCTTCATCCCGAAGATGCCGGCATCCCCTTCCATGTCTCACATTGTCAGCATTGGGCAGCTTCTGGAATCGGTAATCTCATTCTTCCTGTGTGTGCATGCCCACATATTGACCGTTAAAAAAAGATGAGTGCATGTTAGTCAACAAGATCATGCAGCATCTAAAAGTTTTTTAGCTTGTCATTCATGAAAAGTGAGTTAAAATGACACTAGAATCAATGAAGAAAAGATGGTACAATGGCTTTAGGTTGATTCTTCTGTTTCTAAACAAGTAAATTGGATAACACCTTCAATAACTCTCCTAGTTAGAATTCATCATTTATTGGGCTAGCCATTTTGTATAGACATGGCAGCATGGTTATCAGAATCCTGATCCAGATCGTAAGATCTATAGTTCTAGTTGGGCCAAATGATTCAGATCGCACTAGGATTAAAGTGACTATGATCTTAGTGATAAAATCGTGTAGAATCGCACTACGATCCTGATTCTACAACAATCCCGATCCTACAAAAAAAAAAAATTCTTATTATTTATTTCTTATATATGTATGTATGTGTACATTTATACAAAAGATTTTACTATAAACTTTTTCTCCAACATCTTGTATAATTTATGTGTAACATAAAAAATGCATTATATCAAATTTATTATTTTTTTAATAATTTTAAAATGACATAAGATACATTATTATTATGAATAATTTTTTATTTTATTTTATATTAAAAATAAAATCTTACGATTCTCGATTCAATTTTAATCCAATCTACAAGCCGGTCAACAATTCTATGTAAGATCTGGTTTTAACAACTTATACTTACAGTAGAGAAATTATAGTCCATCAATGACCCTAGATGTTTGGCACTTTAGTCAAAAATTACATTTAACAATCAGTTGTTTAAGATATTTGTGTTCGATCCAACGACTCAATGTGGCTGGCCTACCCATATTTGACTTTGTTGGTTGCTTGACACAGACCTTTTTACTTCACCCAAAAAACTAATTTAAAATTCACCCAAGACAGACCTTTACAGCGATGGAATGTCAGCACCAAAATTCATGATCGTTTGGACAATTATATAAACAGTATCAGATGAGAGTTCATCCTTCAAGGAGAAGAGAGGTTCAACATATATATGTAGAACTGGCCTTTTGAGGCATAAAAGCCACCGTGCTAAAACTTGCAACTGTTGTGTTGCATCATGGTTGCCGGCTCACTCCCCATTGATGGAGAAGCACAGCTGCCAATGTCCAACCGCAAGCAAGGCGGTTGGATCACAATTCCATTCATCATAGGTCTATCTCTCTCTCTCTCTCTCTCTCATTCATATGCTTGCATGCACAACTATATATATATATATCAAAAATGTTAGGGATCCAAAAGTTCTACTAAAGGTCTTACATCACATGAGTGTGTGACCGACATGGGACGCACATGGTGTGGTCCCACATCCATGTGAGATATTTGGTAGAAATTTTAATAAAATTTTTAAAGTCTCTAGCATTACTTTATATATATAGGATAAATTATGCAAATGGTCCTTGTAGTTTACACAATGTATCAATTTGGTCACTCTCGTTTCAATTTGCTCGATTTTACCCCTTAATTTAACAGATTGTGTCATTTTAATCCAATAAATAATGATTGTTAAGTTTGATGAACGGAAAGTCTACATAATGTGTCAATTTGGTTCTTGTAGTTTACACAATGTGTCAATTTGGTCCCTATTGTTTTAATTTGCTTGATTTTATCCATTAATTTAACAGATTGTGCTATTTTAATCCAATAAATAATGATTGTTAAGTTTGGTGAACGGAAAGTGTACACAATGTGTCAATTTAGTGTATGTAGTTTACACAATGTATCAATTTGGTCACTCTCGTTTCAATTTGCTCGATTTTACCCCTTAATTTAACAGATTGTGTCATTTTAATCCAATAAATAATGATTGTTAAGTTTGGTGAACGGAAAGTGTACACAATGTGTCAATTTAGTGTATGTAGTTTACACAATGTATCAATTTGGTCACTCTCGTTTCAATTTGCTCGATTTTACCCCTTAATTTAACAGATTGTGTCATTTTAATCCAATAAATAATGATTGTTAAGTTTGGTGAACGGAAAGTGTACACAATGTGTCAATTTAGTGTATGTAGTTTACACAATGTATCAATTTGGTCACTCTCGTTTCAATTTGCTCGATTTTACCCCTTAATTTAACAGATTGTGTCATTTTAATCCAATAAATAATGATTGTTAAGTTTGGTGAACGGAAAGTGTACACAATGTGTCAATTTAGTGTATGTAGTTTACACAATGTATCAATTTGGTCACTCTCGTTTCAATTTGCTCGATTTTACCCCTTAATTTAACAGATTGTGTCATTTTAATCCAATAAATAATGATTGTTAAGTTTGGTGAACGGAAAGTGTACACAATGTGTCAATTTAGTGTATGTAGTTTACACAATGTATCAATTTGGTCACTCTCGTTTCAATTTGCTCGATTTTACCCCTTAATTTAACAGATTGTGTCATTTTAATCCAATAAATAATGATTGTTAAGTTTGGTGAACGGAAAGTGTACACAATGTGTCAATTTAGTGTATGTAGTTTACACAATGTATCAATTTGGTCACTCTCGTTTCAATTTGCTCGATTTTACCCCTTAATTTAACAGATTGTGTCATTTTAATCCAATAAATAATGATTGTTAAGTTTGGTGAACGGAAAGTGTACACAATGTGTCAATTTAGTGTATGTAGTTTACACAATGTATCAATTTGGTCTCTATTATTTTAATTTACTCGATTTTTACAAGGACCAAATTGACACATTGTGTAAACTATAGGAACCAAATTGATATATAGTTTGACTTTCCGTTCACCAAACTTAACAACCGTTATTTATTAGACTAAAATGACATAATCCGTTAAATTAAGGGGCAAAATTGAACAAATTGAAACAACATAGACCAAATTGACACATTGTGTAAACTACATGAACTATTTGTATAATTTACTCATATATATATATATATATGTTACATCAATCTAAAATGTGATCCATCTATTCAAATCTGCAGCAACTATGGCGGGCGTGACACTGGCATCCCAAGGATGGGTGAACAACCTTATTGTATTTTTGATTGGGCAGTTCAATGTCAAAAGCATTAATGCTACCCAAATTTTTAACGTCATTAATGGCTGCGTTACTATGTTTCCCATCCTCGGAGCAATCGTTGCTGACTCCTTTCTGGGCTCGTTCTTTGTCATCTGGATTTCTTCTCTCATCTCTGTACTGGTAATTTTTACTTCTACGGATTTAGAGAGCTTTTCATTCATTACCCGAAATTGAAGTGTCTGGTGTGAATTCATTATAAATATAAACCTCTCAATGTAAGTGGTAGAGGTGTTGGGGGAATATGTATACATCTTTGACTAGTAACTTGGGTGTGAATTTTTTATTTTTATTATAAATTATTAATATCTCTCCTAGTAAGCATATAGCCATATATATTTGACAAAGTCTCAAGCTCCTCATCTCTTGTGAATTTTTTTATGTTTTATTTCTATACAAGTAGTACAACTCACCTGTATGATTTTACCGTCATTGCACATAAAAATGAAAAATGAAACTATATTAACATTTAACAAAAGTGAACAAAGCCTAGCGAGCATACTATAATCCATGTTTATACGGACACGAAGTTCACTACGATCAACTCTTTTATCCCCATTGAAATGTATTCAGTGCTTGATTATTGCAAGGTGAAGTATCATATGTCTTTTTCTTTTTCTTTTTTTTAATCTTGGGATTTATTTCTACCCTATAATTTCAGGGCATAATTCTTTTAATCCTAAGTGCGACACTCGACTCTCTGAGGCCTCCACCATGTGGAAATGGATCAAATTTGTGTATCACCCCATCAAAACTCCAATTTGCAGTTTTATATCTGGGTATTACTCTTGCAACTATCGGCGCCGCAGGTACACGGTTCACCCTAGGAGCAATGGGCGCCGATCAATTCGACAACCCCAAGCATCAAGGAAGCTACTTCAACTGGTTCATCTTCACCCTGTACATGGCATCCATAATAAGCGGCACAGCAATTATCTACGTTGAAGACAGTGTAAGTTTTGGATTGGGGTTCGGCCTATGTGCTGCCGCTAATGTAATTGGCTTAGTCATTTTCGTATTGGGAAAACGATTCTACCGCCATGTTAAGCCACAAGGGAGCCCATTCACAAGCTTAGCTCGTGTTTTTGTTGCGGCTATTCGGAAGAGGAAAATCTTGCATTCACAAAGAAGTGAAGATTATTACAACACAATACATGACGGAGTGACAATGATGGTTGTGACAACACCTACAAAAACGTTCAAGTAAGAGTTTCAGTTGCTTCACATTTCCAAATTTCTTGTTAGTACAAATTACAGTCACATTGGTAATTTTATACTTTGTATCAACTTTTTTTGAGTGAATTAAATTCTGTCTGATCATCAAAACAAAACCTGTATAAACATATATTAATTCTTCAATTATACAGGTTTCTGAACCGCGCAGCTCTGAAAACTGAAGGGGACATCAAAGCAGATGGCTCGATTGCAAAGTTGTGGAATCTGTGCACAGTACAACAAGTAGAAGACCTCAAAGCTCTAATCAAAATTGCCCCATTATGGTCATCCGGTATATTCTTAAGCACACCACTGGCCATCCAATACAGCTTAGCAACCCTTCAAGCTCTCACCATGGACCGCCACCTCGGACCTCATTTCAAAATCCCACCTGGGTCCATGGCAGTCTTCATAATGATCGCTACTTGCATCACCATCGTCCTGCTAGACCGGTTCTTATATGCCGCCTGGCAGAAGCTCACAAGTCGATTCCCAACACCGCTACAGCGAGTAGGGATAGGGCACGTGCTATGCGTGCTCAGCATGGCCTTGTCAGCCATAGTAGAGTCAAAGCGGCTCAAAATAGCTCGGTCCCATAACCTCCAAGACCAAAGTGTTTTGATCGTGCCAATGTCCGCCTTCTGGCTAGTACCACAGCTAGCCCTAGCTGGTATCGGAGAAGCATTTCATTTTCCGGGAAACACCGCATTGTTTTACCAGGAATTCCCGATGTCCCTAAAAAGTACGTCGACGGCGATGGTGGCGATGTTCGTTGGTATTGCATATTATGTGAGCACGGCCTTGGTAAGTGGCGTTCAGAGGACCACCGGATGGTTGCCGAATAATATAAATCATGGGAGGATGGACAATATGTACTGGCTGTTATTTGTGATTGGTGTTGTCAATTTTGGATATTTTGTAGTGTGTGCTTGGTTGTACAAATATCAGGGTGTTGCAAAGGTGGTAGATGAGAATCCTAGTTCTGATGATAAGTAATGTATAGAAAAAGCATTTAAATGCTTTTGATGTATTTGCTAGTGTATCTCTCTCATATATGAGGTTGATACATCTACCAGCACGTGATTATGTGTGTATGATTTAAATAAGTAAAATAAAATAAAATAATAATCATTTATTGTGTATTATTCAAGTAGTAAAAGTGTTTTTATTTTTTTTTATTGACACTAGGTGTTTGGGAAGTTGCTATTTTAGTAAGTTATTTTAATTTTTGGCTATTTTAGTAGGTTAAAATTTTTGTATTTGGAAAGATAATTTGATTTTTTTTTTATAATTGGATGTGATATTAAAAAAAAAATAAAATGATTATAGATTAAAAATATAATTCAAGCATGCCAGTAAGGATTTAAAAAGTTTTTACAGATAATAAATGACAATTTTTGTCAAGCGATTGTGTTAAGGTTCTCTTAGCCGCAATGAAGAGGACTTTACTGTGTTGTGTTGAAAAGATAAACTAAAACTTTAACTCAAATTTGTAACAGAATGAGAGGAAGAGACTGGACAAAAATTGCAATTGATTAACAGAATAAACAATTATAAAATGTTACCTTTAGTAAGGGTAATTTCGAAAATTTTAAATCGACTGGATTCTGGAATTACAAGGCCAATATACTCCTACTAAATATAACTACAATGCATAAAAGGAAAGTGCAGAAATTTAAAGATAAATGAAATAGACAAAGACGTAGAGTTTGTATTTGGTCAGGAGTCATCTTCAATCTTTGCTTCCATTTATTTATGGCATTTTATTGGCGCATTCGAAATAGTTAGACTACTATCTTTTGTCATGATCTCCTTTCTTCTAGCTACTTCTTAGGGCCATAATCTTCCCTTCGTGCGTGTATAACTAATAGCAATTGTTCCTTGTTATTCACATGTTGCTTATTATCTTTACCGGTTGAAATTACATTCATGGAGCACGTGAACACCTTCCAAGGTGAGACTTTTCACTATATCATCAAATATCATTGATACCCTTTGCCTGCCACATGTTGCTTTTGAATTGGGTGATTTAAATGTGGCGCCAATAGTCTATATATAAGTTATTTTTAGAAATATGTTGCAATCTATGCATTACAAAAAAATAATATTAATTTTATCATGATATGAAGATAACATAAATAAATATATAACAATTTTAGTTGAATTATTTATGTACATATCTATGTGTACATATGTATAGAACTATTTAAAAAATATAGTATGAAATATACAATTTAATTTTAGTTCTGTTAAACGAAAGTGTATTTTAAATATATATATATATGATATTTTTGTACTTAATTTCAATATAATAAAATAAATATTGATTTCAATATTAAAAATAATGATTAAATTGGAAAAAAAATCATTTAAAATTAAAAAATGATTCTAATTATTTATTTTGATAATCTTAATTTCATTGTTCTATAAAAGTGTTATTTAAACAAATATATATAATAATTTTATTTCAATTATTTATGTGTATTTTAATAATCTTAGCCCTATCATGTTATAAAATTGTAACTGAAATAAATATATGATGATTGTATATGACACTAAATTATAATCTAGTAAAATAAATATTTAATTTGACATTAATAATAATATTTAAATTGGAAAGAAAAATAGTTGCATACGATTAAAAGTGATTGTAATTATTTAATTGTTTTATTCATTTGGAAATAAAAACAAGTAGGGATGGAAGTTATAAAAAAAATTATTTTAAAAAAATAAATGTAAATATGTTGTGGTTGGATTAAGAAAAAATAGATAGTTTAATTATGTTGAGTATTGATTTTTCTTTAATATCTTATTTAAAACTGTTTATACATATTATATATAATTATATATACACGTATATAAAGTTTAAATTAAATATAAATTTTTCCTAACACATAACTTTATGTTAAATAGAAAACTCAATATAAATTAATAATAAAATATGAATAAGATAGACCAAAAAAATTAAGAAATATATTTAATTTTAATATAAAAATTGAATATTTGAATAAAAGTGAAAAAAATAAAAGAAAATTAATTCGCAAAATATTTTTTAGTACATATAATTATATTAAATTTTATTTATGAGTAATTTAGATTAATCAGAAATCTTTTAAATATTTGAGCCGAAGCCGTCCATATCGTGAAAATGAGTATGTTGACATTCCATGTCAATTGTGGATAATCTACAGAATAAACTTATAAATTGACACAAAACAGCTCTGTTGAGGAGTTTCCTTTTTACGTAGAAGCTCAAAGGGACATTGAAGATTCAGAAAAAGTGTCTCCAACTGAACAACTTTGAGGATATGGTTTTGAAGTCGAAAAATGCTTGGGAGCATTAATTAGTGTTCTCACTAATTAGGTGACAGTGGGTCTTGTCATTAATGATGTGATGTTTTGATCTTGAAATTATATATATATTTTTTTAATACATTAGTATTATTAGTGGTGATATTTTTAATGGGATGAATCATTGTTGTTTGAAGTAAATGACTGTGTTTGGGAATTTCCAATAGCTTTTCCACTATTAGTGCTCCCTAAAAGCATCATTCTTGTAGTGGTGGAACATATTGTACGGGCTTCTACTACCAATTATGATTAGTACACTTTCCCAAGAAACAACCCCTTTTCCAAGTAACAACACATCCCATTCTATAACTAAAGTTTTCTTGAATAAAGACATGTCAAATTGTCAAAAATGGATCCGGCCTAAATGGCCTATGAATTTTGAAAAATGATTGAGGATCACAATTTTTATAGTCATAATGACTTAAAATTGTTAAAATGACATCGTTTTGGGTGCAAAACATGTCAAAACGACATCGTTTTGACAGTTTTGAGCCATTGTCGCCACGAAAATTGTGACCCTCTAACATTGTTGATGAATTTTTTATCCCAAATCTTCTTATTTTCATGTCCCTAAATACTAAGAGTTTTGGAACAAATAGACAGAAATTATTTGGAATAAAAGATTTTGTGTCAATGGATCCAACAATTTTGTTTATAAATTTTGTTAATGAATGTTTAAAAGGTGTTAACAAGTTTGAAATGCCTACATGTTTTATGAGATTGCGAATTTATAATTATTTTAATTTTTTTGATAAATTATAATTATTTAAATTTTATTAACCTTACCTTTAAACATTCTTTAACAAGATCCTTTCAGAGAATTGTTATGATTAAAATACAAAAACTTCAATTCAATGAAGAAACATTTGTGATTAGAATGACTTCAGTTTTAGATAAGTGATTTTTTAACTAACTTTTGTGTGTTAGAGCATCCACACCAAACTCTTTAATTTTTTAATCAAATTAAAACTATTTCATTATTTTAGCACCTCACCTTTTAGCACCTACTGCATCAAACTCTTTATTCTAGCTTATTATTATTAAATATTGTTTTCTTATTATGTTTGTTAGTCTTTTTTTTTATTATTAATTAATAAGTTATCAGCTAAACAATTCTTAAAAAAAGCAAAAAAAAAAAAAAAATTGCCATTGACAAAAAAATTGCCATTGACTGACCAGACTTCTGGGTAGACATCCGGTAACACACAAGTAACGATGAACAGTGCCTCGCTTGTTGTAACGAGTTACAGTAGCCATCATAAATTTTGACAAGCTGTAAGCGAGTTTGATAGAATTAATTTTTTAAAATTTTTAGCTAAAAAATAAAATTGAAAAACTTGATGCAGATGCTCTTAAAGAATCAAATATTGAATGTAATTGTATAACAAATGAAATAAAACGGATACCACTTACTTTTCAGTAATTTAACCAAGGTTGAGAGGGGTGGGGTTGGGTTGGATTGTAAATCAGTCATGAAAGTCAACAGACAAGAAGGGGAGCATTTTTCAACATGTGAAATCATTTACAAAAACATCACATGGGGTTAGTGGTGAGTCCACCAAAGTCAGAGTGATCCATTAACCCCAAACGCTCACATATCTATCTACTTTTACATATACAGTGTAAAGTGTAGCTCAAAAGTTTTTACATATACAGTGTCAAGTGTAGCTCAGAAAAAGAATATAGACAGAACCCCCCAGAGAGAATTTCCTTTTAGGGCAAGGATGGGATCATCACGCATGCGAATTGGGGCATGTAATTGTATGATCGATGTTCATCTCCAACAACTGCTTCATATATATCTTATGGGCGGTAATTTTTTTATTAAAATAGTCAAAAAAAAATTAAAGCACTCGAGCACTTTTTATTTATTTTTATATTTTTTTATAAAAAATTAATTAAAATAATCATTTTTCAAACAAGTTGTATATATCCAAAATTCAACTCTGGCTAATCTAATATAAAATAAATTACTAACTGATTCACATAATTGTATAGGCTAATCCAATATAAGTGACCTCGGCTCATTTGATTTGTCTAACCAAAAGGTAGAGATTATGTTGCAGGTTTCTCAACCGTGCAGCAGTGAAAATCGAAGGAGAGACCCAACCCGATGGCTCGATTGCAAAGCCATGGAAGATCTGCACAGTGCAACTAGGAGAGGATCTCGAAACCCTAATTAGAATCTTCCCACTATGGTCCACTAGCATGCTCTTGGCCAGCTCAATTGGGATCCAAACCAGCTTGGTAGTCCTTCAAGCCCTAACCATGAACCGCAGCCTCGGCCCCCACTTCAGAAATCAGAAAACACAAGCACAACTAGAAAGAATACTTTACAAAAGGAGAATTTCTGAAAATTAAAACCTCCTAAAAAACGAGAATTTAACCCTAAATTATCAAACATCTTACACCCCATTAAAAACAGCCATTGTAATCAAGCTTAGTGCAAATCAATAGAACAGTTAGAATTCGAGCATAAAAATCCTTCATATTAGGAAGACTAATCTAGTTAGTGGAAGGACATACCTTTTGAGTACGTAACCAATCAAACAGCAATATGCTTTCACAGCATCAAGCCTAAATCCCTTTAAAATATAGAAAAGCTACATCTTCAAGTCACACACCAGCGAGCAGAGATTGACACGCACCATAATGAAATAGGGATCATCTCCCAAAACCCAGCTTTTTAAGCCACCCATTTCTGCACATTTCATGTCAAATAGCTGCAACTCTTCTAAAACCAAATTGGCAAAATTGCAGGATTTCATAAATTTGTTAGCCACGTAATATTACAACAGTGCGAAACTTGTAGAAAACTACAAATAGCATTGCTTTTGACAGTTTCTCAGTTTTGGAGATGTTCTAACCTATAATTGGAAGTCAGAATGGTTTGGGTATGACCCAAATAGAGCTCACCCTCAGTTCATCACCTTAGGCAAACCTAAAAAAGAATTGAAGACAGTTTTGGCTTGTATTTGCCCGAGATTTATGAGGATTCTGTCTGACTAAAATGGCGAGGATTGTCAAAATAGTGACACCCAGTTAATCAGAATTGGGGGGTGGAATGTTGACAAACTTTGTACAGTCAAATGGTCCAATCGAATTCTGTTTCCGTTTCACCTGAAAGACATAAAATTATAGATGTTACCTTATTGTAACAAATAAATTTGCCATTAATTTCAAACCAACTGAAGAAGTATGGCAGAAGATTTAAAAAAAAAAATGCCCTATCTATGTATTGCAAATAAAAAAAATTTGAAAACAAGTAAAATAACTGGAAACAGTGATTACTTTTGTCTTCTTTGACAGCCCAGAAGTGTAAGTTTTATGCAAACAGACGTCAGAATTCAAGCCAAAGAACGATTACAAGAAGTACCTTAAATATATTGGCTATCAAAAATGGTGTGGTGCCAATAATGCCATTAGATCCATTTTCACTTACAGTCAAATTATATTACCTTAAAATGAAAAGTGCCAATATAGAAAGTAAGGTCATACCGGTGACCATGGACCTGGTTCGGGAAGAGATTTGTCTGGGGGTGAATTTTGTACAGCACCACTTTTCATTGTTAGAATTTTCTGCAGAAATATCAGATTGAAAATTACAAAGCTAAACAATTAAAATATGACTGTCATCCAGCAAAAAAAAGAAAAAGAATATGACTGTGTCATCCATTTGATTTATTGCTGGGAGGAGTTTCATAATTCACACAATATCAAACTAACAGTCTCACTTGTTCCAACCCATTTTCGCACGGTTACTACACAGTCTCACCATAGGATCGAAAATGACTAACCAAAATGGTGGATAGCAGCACACAACAATCATCTAATTAGTCATAGACATTAAATCTGAAACATTTTGCTTTCAGTCTTTCACCAGCCAAAAAATAACAAGAAAAAACTAATTTTTCTTTTACTTATTTCCCTATGGCCACTTCAGTACAGTTCATTTATCCAATATAAATAAATAAATTTATATATTACCTCTCCAGCAGCTTCCATGGCAGCCAACCATTCATCAGAGAAAGGAACAGCATTCACGGTGAGGTTTATCATTGGATTATTTTGTTTCTCATCATCCTCCGATTTTTTGCTGCAATGAGAGATTGTCAGATTTAAGGTCCCAAAAGTACTCCATATCAAAATTTCACATAGAACATATGTCATGAATCAAAAGACAGAACAAAGGAAACAGACCCCAGAAACATAGAGAATTGTCCATAAATTGATACACTTACATTGGCATTGTTCTATCCTCATCTTCTGTAAGACAAATGGCATCATCCAGCTTGTGCTGAAGTTCACCAGGATTAACATTTTCCTGAGAAATTCTAAGTTCATTATCATTTGTCAAGATGATGTTCCTCTTATCAACCCTAATATCCATTGCATTAGTTTCATTAGCCAATGTCTGAATCTTTTTAACCGAGAAACCTGATTCTTCACTGGAACAAATGGCATCATCCAGCTTGTGCTGAAGTTCACCATGATTAACATTTTCCTGAGAAATTCTAAGTTCATTATCATCTGGAAAGATACTGTTCCTCTTATCAACCCCAATAGCCATTGCATTAGTTTCATTAGCCAATGTCTGAATCCTTTTAACCGAGAAACCTGATTCGTCACTAGAACAAATGGCATCATCCAGCTTGTGCAGTTCACTAGGATTAACATTTTCCTGAGAAATTCTAAGTTCATTATCATCTGGCAAGATACTGTTCCTCTTATCAACCACAATATCCATTGCATTAGTTTCATTAGCCAATGTCCGAATCCTTTTAACCGAGAAACCTGATTCTTCACTGGAACAAATGGCATCATCCAGCTTGTTCTGAAGTTCACCAGGATTAACATTTTCCTGAGAAATTCTAAGTTCATTATCATCTGGCAAGATATTGTTCCTTTTATCAAACCCAATATCCATTGCATTAGTTTCATTAGCCAATGTCCGAATCCTTTTAACCAAGAAACCTGATTCTTCACTGGAACAAATGGCATCATCCAGCTTGTGCTGAAGTTCACCAGGATTAACATTTTCCTGAGAAATTCTACGTTCATTATCATCTGGCAAGACATTGTTCCTCTTATCAACCCCAATAGCCATTGCATTAGTTTCATTAGCCAATGTCTGAATCCTCTTAACCGAGAAACTTGATTCTTCACTGGAACAAAATGAGGAATCATCCACAAGGAAACCATGGTTTAACTCGGAGGCTTGTTCAACTAGAAGGCGACAACTTTGAAGCTTAGGATGTTCTCTAGTTTTTTTATTATTGTCATCAACCACTAAATATTGATCATGAACCTCTGATGTGCACAACTTATTGTCACAATTTTTGACTAATAAAGTTTCATCCAAGAAATTCACTTGTCCATCCTCCGCATGTAATTTGTCATTCAACTGATCTACTCCAGCAGCTCCTTCATTTGCTTGTTCTGCGCTTTCATGTGGAGGACTGTTAGAACTAAGCTTTTCACTTCCATTTGACTTGCATATATTTGAATTGACAGTTGCATCATTCTCTCTCTTGTATTTCTGGGACTCAAACAATTTTCTGTCCTCAAGCAAAATTCTGTCATTTCTCACAAGATTAGGGTTCTCTCCATGAGGAATTTGATCAGCTTTACCAGCAGAAGCATTTATTAGTTCATCCTTTAAAGTAGACCATTCATCAACATGGATATTACTTGAACTATCATTATGCATTATAACAAACGCCTGCTTGATATCACCGGCAGCATATTCAGTCTGATATCCAGAGATGACTTCATGAGTACCAACAGAAGAACTGCATTGCTTGTTCTCAACATGCTGGTGCTTGATTGTATCATTTGCTTCAGGAACCCCTTCAACAAGCACTGCACAGCTATGTTGAGATGCAAAATTGAAGTTTTCCAATTCATCCATTTTAGAATATATAAATTCTGGACAAGAAATGGCGACTTCATTATTGCTATCTTTCTTAAGTTGATCAGAGGATCTGCTCTGCAAAAGCCAATCATCATCATTCATCTCAAAGTCTGAGTCCTCCTTAGAAGAACTCTGATCATCTTTATGAGGTTCCCCACATTCTTGAAGTCCTTTGTCACCACCAACAATTTTATGCTCCTGTTGATTATCTTTCATCAGTTCAGAACTCTTAGGATAGCATGGAAGCATAGTTTCCATTCTCAATGCATTAGATCCTTCTAATTTCAATTCAACATTTTCATGTGAAGCATCACTATAAGCAGATGGAAGAGAACATTCTGTACTAGAACCTGAGACCCTAGAATTTCCACTAACTGTGGCATTATTATCCATTTTCAGCATTTTTTCTGGAGCTTGCAGCAGCCTTGGGTCATGCGTGTAATTTGAGACGTTGAGTCTCTGCAGGCCAGGGATATAAGACTTGGGAATATTACTTGACTGAGTGGCTTTCTGGGATGAACTATTTGAAGCAGAAGATTTAGGCTGCAAATCAACAAAATGACAGCCAAAAAGAAATCCATTTTTAAACATCAAGAAACACACTAAACCTTAGATATTTGAACCTTGCTTACATGCATCTAAAGAAACACACTGAACCTTACCTGACAAAAAAATCCCAGTGATGGCGATGGCATCCGCAAACCTGAAGGTTTAATTGTTTGAAATTGTGTATCCCGCATGTTCCCACCGATATATTGAGTATTTTGAGGGACAACTCCAGTTTTCCGATATAAATCATGGGCATCTGGTGCACGTGATCCAGTAGGTGGAAGTACTGCAGCTGGAAACACCTCTAAACCACAATTAGCTTTCGTGACCAGTGGAGGCTGTGGATTGGTTGATGAGCGTACTTCTAAAGTTGAGTTAGGCTGCACATTCAGAGAGAGGGATGGGAGACAGCAAATATATATATATATATATACATATATTTTTTAATTAATAGGGAAAAGAAACTTATATAGCATAAAGGTTAGCCACACATAAATCCATAAATTCTATGACGATGTTTCACTAAGCCAACAGTCGAAAGATCTTTTGGAGTCTTACCATATTCCTTCTAGGATGCTGAAGTGGTGACTTTGCAGACAAAGATGAGGAATCAGAACCAGCCTTTGCTTTATTTGCAGAACTTTTAGTATTTTTAAAGGGGTCTTGTATTCTTGCACTCTTTTGAACAATATCTGCAGAAAAAATAAGTTACAGATCACAGAGAGACGCATCAATTTCATTTATTGCAGATAAACATTGTTTTGTTTAGAAAAAAATTATTACAGATTATGCCTCTAAAAATTAATACTGTTATAACCTGGTTAGCCAATCTGATTACTCTTTGAACAAATCCATTTTTTTCTGATGCAGGCAGTAAATTTGATTCAACAAACGGTCTCGTATGACCAGCAAAAATTGAATTATACCTGTTTGACCAATCTGATTATGCTTTGAGTGGCTTGTACTCGGCACATTATTCTTATTGGATTTAGGAAGTGAATGAGCACCTGACCTTGAAGCAGGAATTTTGGGAATCTTTGATTCTTTCATTGCAGATTTTGTTGTGCTTGCATTTGCAGGCCTTTTAAGAGTACAAAACAGTTAAGGCTTTTTCAATATGTGTATTATTAAGAAAAAGAAAAACTAACTCAAACAAACACATTCATGGGAAAAATTAAGTCCCATAGAAAATTACAATGAAAAGGATATGAAGGAAAAACCACGGGTCGTGGACAACCACCACTTTTAGACCTAGTCCTATTACCCCTCTGGTTTGAAAGCATTTTCGGCATACCCTGGAAGCATATATTCAACAAAGACACAATTAGTAAATTGTTATAATAAAAAAAAGAACCATAGTTGTGTTCAAGCTCCAGAAAAACAAACTACAGAGGTTGATGCTGCATTATCTGGAGCTGATGAAACATGCTTCATCAATAAACTACCACCATTATCTCTTTCATTTGAATTAGTTGCATGAGTTTCTTTAAATAAATTCTCTTCAAGTACTTGTAAAACTGCTGAATCACTATTGCTGCCAGAATTAACAGCCAACGTTCTCCCTTCTTCATGAATAGTTGGCAGCACCTTCCTATTTGAGTTACCAATGCTTCCACTGAGCATAGATAATTCTAAGGAATTCAAAACACCTGACGAAAAACAACTCGTAAATTTTCCCATGTTCATTTTTTAAGCACAATATGAAGATGTGCAACATACACATAATACAAGAAGATAACTTAAACACCTTCTTCAGTGAAGAAAGCCCTGTCCCACGCTAAGCTTTTCCGTAAATTGTATGCTCCGGACCTTTTCCTTCTCTTCATTTGCTGTGATTCTACACTCAATTTTGGCACTTCTGATTTTTTCACACTCATGTTTTCTTTGTTACTACTACCTATTGGAGTTGAACAAGAAGGTTCTTCTATTCCTGCATTATCCTTTAAACCCACTGCAATCCAAGAGAGTAAACGTCAAATACCATATATTCAATCTCGAGTTTTGGAAGTGCTTTCGGTTTCCAATCAAAGCCATAATACTCGAGAAAGCAAGGAAACCAATTCTCAAATTTTAACAAGAAACTAAGTATAAGCTGCTTCTTCCACTAGAATGTTTCCCCTTAGTTATTTTAAAGGCTAGTCTTATCCTACCATTATTCTTAATTCATACTTAAATAATAATAAATAAATAAATAAACAAACTTGTACAATTGAAATGTAAACAAATAGCCCAATTTCATTCAAATGAATCAAATTGAAAAGCAAAGAAATAGATAGAACCACATGCCAATTTCAAGCAGAATGGGAAAAGATTGCATTTTGTGTAAATTTCAACTTATTTCTGTTGAGCCAAATGGGCAACACACCCTAGAAAACCAAATCAATGATCAACAACAAATTGCATACTTAGACACCAAATTAAATGAAACAGGCCAAGAGAGAGAGAGAGAGAGAGACATTGTAAAATAAATTGATAGAGAGAGAGAGCAAATGAATAAATGTGTATATATATTTGTTGTGTGTTTGTACAAAGGGAGCTTAGCTCTCTATTTATAGACTGATATTGGGCATGCCATGCGAGACGCGAGGCACCGAAAGGCAAGGCTAATGCTTTAGCCGAAAGGAACAAACACAATGATAACAAAGGCACAAAGGCGCCGAAAGCTGATGCTATAACAATTATATACAAAGTATAATAATATACTAACAGACATGATTTTGGTAAATGTATAATGTGACCAAACCATTCAATGTGAACAAAAAGCAAACCCCAGAAATACACATCAATGAGGACCACCACACATGCTGTACACAATTTGATGCATTTGAGAAAGAGAAACTAGCATATGAAGCAAAACCAAATACCTAGAAAACCAATTCATTGAACATTGCACAACACTATTCGAGCTACACAAAAAATAAATAAATAAATAAATAAAAGAAATAAAAAAAGGACCAAAAGTGAAATAAAATGAAACAGAAACCAAACCCTAGAAGGACAAATAAACCAACGAAACCTTGTTGAAATCGGGTGAAGAAATAAAAAATCGTAGAGACAACGATTTGAAGTGCAAGCACAATGGAAATCAAACAAAAACATAAACCCTAGAAGACGAAACCAGAAACACTGACTGATTGGCGAAAACCGAGAAGAACGGTGGGAATTGAGGGTGGATCCGGGGATTTGCAAAGGCGAGCATGAGAAGCAGTAGTTGGCTGCTGCGGCGGTGGTGGTGTTGTGGAGTGAGGGAGTCTGTTGGAGCAGAGAGTCATCTTCGCCGGAGATTTCGATCAATGAAAGATCCGATTCCATTCTCTCTCTCTCTCTCTCTCTCTCTCTCTCTCTCTCAGAGAGAGATCGAACCAGAGGTAGAATTACAGTGAGTTTGGATTGGAATTTGGTTGGTGATTTGGAGAGAAGAAAACAAATGTAGTAGAATTCAAAGGCATTATCGACTAAAGAACCAATTCAAAAAAAACGACTAAAGAACTTTTTTTAGTTCTGGTTTTCGGTTTGGGATGGGCTCTACCCTTTCAAAACGCAACCGAGCGGGAAGAGATAAGACTTGTCACGTGCTTGTTTGATGCCCTTTTTATTTTTATTTTATTTTTTTTATTTTTTTATAGAGATTATTATTAGGTTTTTTTTTTAAAGTCCCTAGTATTAAGATTTTATAGTATAAAGAATATTTAATATTTTAATAATATTTATGATCCCTCAAGTTGGTCCAGAGAAAATTCACGTCACAGAGAAAATTGGTTGAAAAATTTCTCTAGACTTTCTAAAGTAATTTTGACATTCCCTAAACTTCCCACTATAAATTTCTTTGACCTCCCCTTCTCCAAATTTCTCTGTCTTCCATATACTTCCCATTCTCCCAAAGAAATTTCTCTGTCTTTCTACAAAATTACATCTCCAAAGAAATTTTAAATTTCTCTGCCCTCCCTGCCTCTCTTGGACTCAACACTCTAGGGAAATTTGAAAATTTCTCTGACTTCACCAGCCTTCAATTGGTCAAAATGAATCCAGAGAAATTTGAATTTTCTCTGAGTTTGAGTGAAGAAACTATAAAGATTTCAGTAGGAAACCGTGTGATTATTTCGGTAGGTGATAAACCAGCTAAAGAAAATCACCAATACATACACTCGCAGATATGTATACATCACATATCTCAGTTGAGTCACTCATATATATATACACATCAAAAACAATATATATATATATATATATATATTCATCATAATTACAGCCAAAGAACCAGTTTCTCCAAAACACACACAAAAAATAAACATAGCTAGATAAACTTGTGTTTTGGAGATATATATATATATATATTTTCATCTCTCCTGTCTGGTCACTTTTTTCTACCTTTGCACAATGATCAAGATTGTCCTAATTGTCTCTCTCTCGCTCTATCTATATAGAGAGAGATTTGTAGTGTTACAGATCTTGCATTGCAAAGCTACTCTGTGAAGACGACACTAAATACACTTATAATTCCAGTCTTTATGCGTTTGATATAACAGTGAACAGTAAATCACAGAGGTTAGGTCAGTGAATCAGAGAGAGGGAAGAAGAAATTGTTGCGTACGAAAGAGGAAAAGGGAGTGAATTTTCTCTGTCATATATAGGTGTAGGGTTAAGGGACCTTAGACATCACAAAATAATATTGTGGATCTCTTCTATCACAAAAAATAAGAGAGGGACCTTAAACTAATTTTTCCTTATTATTATTATTATTGGGAACGTATGTGTATATATTAATATGTGAATTTATTATCTAATAAGTCTTATGAGAATTAATGATATTTTTCATCAACTACTATTAAAAAATATCACTATTCAATTTGAAAATTTTCTTATAAAAAATGTCATTAATTAAAAGTTTTAGCGACAGTTTAAAAAAATAGTCGTCACTAATTTTTAACTTTTAGCAACAATTTGAAAATTGTCACAGAAAAGTATCACTAATTGTAAGTTTTAATGATAATTAATAAAAATTGTGACAAAAAAAGTTACTAATTATCAATTTTTAGTGACATATGTAAAAAATCGTCACAAAAAATTATTTTTAGCGACGATTTTATAACGACTTATTTTTAATAGGACTTTGATAGGAATTAAATCTAATTATTATGACATATTAGTAGTTTACCCTATTATTATTGAGTGGTGTACTAACTAGTGTACCAATATTAGTTATAACATTATTATTGACTCCACTCATTATACAAATTACAAATACCAAATACATCTTAAATTATGCCACATCATCAATTAATACACTAATTTGTGCATATAACATTACTCATTATTATTAGGTAAATTTTAACAAGTGTCGCTATGCATTGTTTGACATTAGAAAATGTGTATAAAGTGTTTTGAAATTATGTGAAAATATTAAAAATATATCGACTTTAGTAAAAATGTATTAAATTTAATGAAAAATATCATGCGTTTTCCAAAATTTTTGTCTTTTATTTGTGTCTTAGGGGCATTTATTAGCAACCCTTTTATTATTATTATTATTATTATTAGGGATAAAGCTTCTTGGATTAGACATTGTTGTTAGGTTCGTATAGTCTATCACGTGTCTTATTTTGATAATTCAAATTGTTTGATGTGTAAAACTCATCGAATACTTTATTTTTGCAAAATATATTATAATCGAATATCGATAGCTCATTAATTAAATCATATTTTTTTCAATGATAAATATAATTTTAAAAATAAGTTTGAGAGGGTGATTTATGATCAGAAGTTGGGCCGAGGTAACGGCCGAGCAGATTGAGAGTCCAACGGTGCATGGGGCCGAGATTGATTGACCATCCGCCAAGAGATGGGCTGCCAGAACCTGGGCCGAGCAGAACTTGGGCCAAGTGTGAGCCGCCCCGGCCCAAGAAGGAGCTCGGCTAGATAGCGCTTGGTTGGACCGAGCTGCCTGATCAGGGGATGGCTGAAGCCAGACAAGCTGAGTGACCGGCGCCCGGTAAGGCGTGGTCAGCCGAGGAGACTGTTTGACCGGCAGGAAGGCCGACCCAAGGAGGTACCCGGGCTAGGCTCTGCCGGGATGCCGCCTAGCCCGGTCCTACATGTGTTTATCCGGTTAGGCGCTTGGGTATGAAGCATGGCATGGCCGTGGTAGAGCAGCTCGGCTGCCGAGCTCCAGCTGTGAAGTCAGGCAGTTGAGATTAGGTGATGATCGGCAAGGTTTACGCTGACAGATGGGATAGCAGAGCCACGTGTCAGGAGATGACTGGGAGTGGATATGGGGCTCAGAAGGTATATAAGCATGTCTGCGTCCCCCATACGCGACACACGAACATCTCTGTAAGGAATTCTTACACTCAAACACTCTCTCCCTTCTCTCTATCCATCCTAAGGTGTGTGCTAACTTGATCGTCGGAGGGTTTTTCCGGCCACACACCGCCGGGTAGCTCACCGTTACTTGCTCGCAGGTGATCGGACATCGACGGAGCTCGGAAGAAAGGAGTACGGGCTTGCCGGAATATTTGCTCCCCGTACAATTGGCGCCGTCTGTGGGAAGCTTGACAGACAAAACCTTGTCTTCCAGGTTCATCTGATCGCCGTCCATGGCGAACAACGACGAGTTTCCGTTGTCCGCCATCGACGGAGCCACCCCGGAGTATACCCGAAGGAGAGAGGGACCACCTGCCGTCCATCCAATGGCTGACTTGGGGACGCCCACTGGAGGACAGTCAGGAGACGCGCGGGATAAGCGCGGAAGGAGTCATGGGCATTCACGGAGTCCAGACGGTCACCGGCCAATTACGCCTGCAATTCAAGGGGCAATTCCTGTTTCTGAAAGTGCAGTGAGCTATATGAAATCTATTGAAGAACAATTCATTGGAACTTCCAAATCCCTTGCTAGTACTCTCATGATTAAAGTGATGACAATGAAATATGATGGTTTGAGTGGTGTTCGTGAACATATCTTAAAGATGGCCTCTCAATTAAAGGCAATGGACATGGAAATTTTTGAAGGTTTTCTTGTTCATTTCATTATGACTTCTCTTCTTGCATAATTTGGTCATTTCAAGATCAATTATAATACACAGAAAGATAAGCGGAAGATAAGCGAGTTAATTGCCATGTGTGTTCAAGAAGAAGAGAGGCTTAAAGCTGAAAGGCCTAATATGGGTCACCTTACCACCTTGGGTCCAACCAAAAAGGTTTTCAAGAAAGGCAAAAGTAAGAAGAAGAAGAATGCAAATGGTGAAACTCACGGTGATCAATCAAACTACCCGATGTTTTTGGATTAGTTTTTATGAATGAAATAATTAAATTTTCGTTGGGTGATCAATCAAACTACCTGATGTCTTTGGATTATTTTTTTAAAAAAAATGATCAGAAATGTTTCAAAGCCAAAATCAATGTTTGAAAGTGTGGGTGGCAATAGTTGTTGTTGCAAGAATTTTTCCTAAATATGATTTAATGTGGCTTATGCATGATTATACTATATTCATTTCATTAAGTAAAATACATGTACATCAATTAGATGGTGACTAATCATTGATGAATATACCTCTATATACATAATGTATAGAAGACTAACGGAGATAATGTCAATGCATTGAATGTGATAGATTATCTTTTTCAATCATGGAATGCATTAGATGTGAACTTAATGCTACAAAACCATGCCAATAGGCAACAAAAACAGAAAAAAAAAAAAAAAAACAAACAAAA